ACCAGCTTTCCCCTGCTTGATCTGAAGCCGCTAGAATTTATGAGTATATATACGTCTGAAGGAGGGGTGTTAATGTTGCAGTTTAAAAACTGTAGTGTAAAGCACCCTTCTGGCAAGACAGTGATGGAGTGAATAATGGTGAAAGTTCTTCTTTCTTGGGCCACTCTGCCTTGGTGGGAATCGGCCAGTGTGATAATAATAAAAAAATAATATACGTCAAACATGGTACCTCGTAAGACGTATATATATGGCCGCGACAGTCAAAGGGTTAAATGCTCGATGACACCAGACAAATGATACAAAATGACACATGTTGATCCATATTGCATTGTTAGTATTGTGATATCAGAAATAAATGTTGAGACTGTTAGCACACACTCATGTATTCTACTTCGACTCCTAAGATGGTCGCAAAAGCAATCTCACCTGACTGCATGACATTACATGCAATGGTGTGTGTGTGTGTGCACACACGTGTGTGTGTGTGTGTGTGTGTGTGTGTGTGTGTGTGTGTGTGTGTGTGTGTGTGTGTGTGTGTGTGTGTGTGTGTGTGTGTGTGTGTGTGTGTGTGTGTGTGGCCAAATGTGTAAAACTTGCGATCTTGGCTTAAATAGCAACACTCATCTTGCCATATAAGACAAGCGAAAATTTGTGTATGCAATAATTTCACAGAAATCAATCTGAATCTGAACCTAACAAAAAAAATATATTTCGTTGCGTTTGTTTATTATTAAATTATTGTAAACGCATCTAAAATATATTTAGTTGGATTAGGCAAAAATAAATTGCATTTGTTATAAGGTTAGGTAAGTTTTCTAAGATTCTTTTGGTGCAAAATTATAAATTTTTACATTAACATTAATGAAAAAAATATATCTTTAAGCGTATAAGAGAAAATTTTAGAAAGGACTTAATTCATATAGTCGGACTTGAGTCCTGGAAATGGGAAGTACAATGCCTGCACTTTAAAGGAGGGGTTTGGGATATTGGCAGTTTGGAGGGATATGTTGTGTATCTTTATACGTAGATGCTTCTAAACTGTTGTGTTCTGAGCAACTCTGCAAAAACAGTGATAATGTGTGAGTGTGGTGAAAGTGTTGAATGATGATGAAAGCATTTTCTTTTTGGGGATTTTCTTTCTTTTTTTGGGTCACCCTGCCTCGGTGGGAGATGGCCGACTTGTTGAAAAAAAACAAATATATATATATATATCTATATATATATTATATATATATATATATATATATATATATATATATATATATATATATATATATATATATATATATATATATATATATATATATATATATATATATATATATATATATATATATATATATATATATTATATATATATATATATATTATATATATTATATATAATATATATATATTTATATATATATATTTATATATATATATATATATATATATATATATATATATATATATATATATTATATTATTATATATATATATATATATATATATATATTATATATATATATATATATATATATATATATATATATATATATATATATATATATATATATATATATATATATATATATACAGTGGACCCCCGCATAACGATGGCATCACATAGCGATTATTTCGCATACCGCTTACTTTAATCGCAAAATTTTTGCCGCGCATACCGATTAAAAACCCGCTCACCGATTTTCGTCCGAGACGCGTCTAATGTGCGCCCTCACCCAGCCTCACATGTGCCGCCCGTGCCATTGTTTACCAGGCAGCCTCCGCGCTAACATCCAAGCATACACTCAGAATATTTCGTATTATTACAGTGTTTTTCGGTGGTGTTTCTGGAAAATAAGTGACCATGGGCCCCAAGAAAGCTTCTAGTGCCAACCGTACACCAATAAGGGTAAGGATACCCATTGAAATGAAGAAAGAGATCATTGATAAGTATGAAAGTGGAGTGCGTATTGCCGACCTAGTCAAGTTGTACAAGAAACCCCAATCAACCATCGCTACTATTGTGGGCACCAAAAAGACAATCAAGGAAGCTGTTCTTGCCAAAGGTTTAACTGTGTTTTCGAAACAAAGATCGCAAGTGATGGAAGATGTTGAGAGACTCTTATTGGTGTGGATAAATGAAAAACAGCTAGCAGGAGATAGCATCTCTCAAGCGATCATATGTGAAAAGGCTAGGAAGTTGCATGACGATTTAATTAAAAAAAAGCCTGCAACTAGTGATGATGTGAGTGAATTTAAGGCCAGCAAAGGTTGGTTTGAGAGATTAAGAAGCGTAGTGGCATCCATAGTGTGATAGGCATGGTGAGGCTGCCAGTTCGGACCACAAAGCAGCTGAAAAATATGTGCAGGAATTCAAGGAGTATATAGAAACTGAAGGACTGAAACCTGAACAAGTGTTTAATTGTGATGAAACAGGCCTGTTCTGGAAGAAAATGCCAAGCAGGACCTACATTACTCAGGAGGAAAAGGCACTCCCAGGACATAAGCCTATGAAAGACAGGCTTACCTTCTCATGTGTGCCAATGCTACTGGTGATTGCAAAGTGAAGCCTTTATTAGTGTATCACTCTGAAACTCCCAGAGCGTTCAGGCAAAAGAATGTCCTCAAGGATAATTTGTGTGTGCTGTGGAGGGCAAACAGTAAGGCATGGGTCACTAGGGAATTTTTCTATAACTGGTTACACCATGCATTTGCCCCCAATGTGAAAGATTACCTAACTGAAAAGAAATTAGAACTTAAGTGCCTCCTGGTGTTAGACAATGCCCCTGGTCATCCTACAGACGTGGCAGAGCGACTTTATGGGGACATGAAATTCATTAACATCAAGTTTTTGCCTCCTAATACCACTCCTCTCCTGCAGCCCATGGACCAGCAGGTTATTTCCAACTTCAAGAAACTGTACACAAAAGCTCTGTTTGAAAGGTGCTTTGTAATGACCTCAGAAACTCAACTGACTCTAAGAGAGTTTTGGAGAGATCACTTTAATATCCTCAATTGTGTAAACCTTATAGGTAAGGCTTGGGAGGGAGTGACTAAGAGGACCTTGAACTCTGCTTGGAAGAAACTGTGGCCAGAATGTGTAGACCAAAGGGATTATTGAAGGGTTTTGAGGCTAACCCTGAGAGGAGTATGCCAGTTGAGGAATCCATTGTGGCATTGGGAAAGTCCTTGGGTTGAGGTATAGTGGGAGATGTGGAAAGTTGTGGAGTGAGGACAATGAAGAACTAACCACTGATGAGCTGATAGATCAACTTCAAGAAAAGAGGCCAGACCTGGGAAATGGTATTCAGAGGAGGGAAGAGAAATTGAAGAAGTTGCCTATACAAGATAAAGGAAATCTGTGCAAAGTGGCTTTAAGTGCAAACTTCATGATGAAAATCACCTCACACAGCTATTGCAAGCCGTGCTGGTGACTATTACACTGACAATGTTTAAACACTTTAGGGAAGTGATCAAAGGAACGAAGGTACAGGCCACTATGGACAGATATCTTGTGCGAAAGAAGTCCAGTGACTCTGAAGCTGGCCCTAGTGGCATTAAAAAAAGAAGGGAAGTAACCCCAGAAAAGGACTTACTACCTCAAGTCCTAATGGAAGGGGATTCCCCTTCTAAACAGTAAGAAGATAATGCTCTCCCCTCCCATCAATCATCACCAGATCTTCAATAAAAGTAAGTGTCATGTAAGTGTGCATGCCTTTTTCAGTTTGTGTGTATTAAAATTAATATTTCATGTGGTAAAAAAAAATTTTTTTTCATACTTTTGGGTGTCTTGCACGGATTAATTTTATTTCCATTATTTCTTATGGGGAAAATTCATTCACATAACGATTATTTCGCATAACAATTACCCCTCTTGCACGGATTAAAATCGTTAACCGGGGGTCCACTGTATATATATATATATACAGTGGACCCCCGCATAACGATCACCTCCGAATGCGACCAATTATGTAAGTGTATTTATGTAAGTGCGTTTGTACGTGTATGTTTGGGGGTCTGAAATGGACTAATCTACTTCACAATATTCCTTATGGGAACAAATTCGGTCAGTACTGGCACCTGAACATACTTCTGGAGTGAAAAAATATCGTTAACCGGGGGTCCACTGTATACATACACACACACACACACACACACACACACACACACACACACACACACACACACACACACACACACACACATGCACACACGCACACACATACATTTTTTACCAATAGGCATATATTATTACATAATATGGTACAAAAGATTTAAGAGATACATTGTTGATATAAAGGAGGCATATATAGTACACGAGGTGTGAGAGATACATGTCTAGTACATATTGTTACATGTTTGTCACTGATTATAATGCAAAAATCTCATCCAGCTCCTCAAAGCTGGGGCGCATGCCCAAAATACAGCAGGCATTACGCCTATTTTTTTATGAATGGAAGCATGGACAATAAAGGTTCTAGGCGTTAAATTAAAAAAAAAAAAATGCCATATAACAGAGGAGTATCCCAACTAAAAAACACCGAAAGCTACATACATACGCACTTAAGAATAGATGCTTGGAAATCTATTACATTTTTACAACAGCCAACCTGCAGTACAAATGTGTAAAACCAGCCTTTGTACTATTATTTTCTATACAAGCAAATCATTTGTAAGTAGAAACAAGAGGATTTAAAGTCATTTGTAACTTTGAGAACTTTTACAGTTCTACACAGTACTTCAAATCTTAAAAGCCTCTCTGCAGTTTTAAATTATTTATTTACATAATTTTAATTTCCTTTTGTAAACTATTGGTAAGCATGAAGATAACCCTTTCTGATAAAGGAGTTGAGCATTGAACTCGTAGGGTCCACACAGCGCCTGGGGAATTGAAGGTAATCGGGTTAATCAAAGGAAGGGGAGGGGTAGTTAAAATTCCTTGGATCAAGAGCCCTTCACCAGAATGAAGGCACCCTCCTTGAAGGGTGCACTAAAAGTAGTTGCACAAAACTTACCCATCTCTGGTTGCACACCGTCTGACGCACCAACAGTTGTCTGCTGAAGAGGAGCCTTTGATGGGCACTTTTCTAACTTTTCCTTAACAGTACAAGCAGATATATCTGATGCTTCAGGGTTATCTTTCTTATCTACCCCTGTTGTCAAATTTGCATCTTTATCACATTTTATGCTTGTATCATCTTTTTTATCTACACTCTGGTCACTTTTTGAGGGAACTTCTTTTTTCTCTTTTATGACACTGACACCCTTGTCAGAAATGGGTTGGTCAGTTTTTGAATAACTACCCTTTTTCTCTTTTACAATATTAATATCTTCACCTGCAGTGGGGTGGTCAGTTTTTGAATGAATGTCTTTTTTCTCTTTTACAATAAAACTATCCTTATTTACAGTGGAATGGTCAGTTTTTGAATGAATGTCTTTTTTCTCTTTTACAATTTTATCCTTATTTACAGTAGCATGGTCAGTATTTGAATGAATGTCTTTTTTCTCTTTTACAATATTAGTATCCTCATTTAGAGTGGGATTGTTAGTTTTTAAATGAAGGTCTTTATTTTCTTTAACAATATTATCCTTATTTAAAGTGGAATGATCAGTTTTCAAACAAACTTCTTTTTTCTCTTTTACAACATTAATATCCTTACTTACAGTGGAGTGGTCAATTTTTGAAAGAATTTCTTTTTTCTCTTTTATAATACCAGTATCCTTACTTACAGTGGGTTGATCATCTTTCAATAAAACTTGTTTCTCTTTTATGTTAATATCCCTACTGCCAGCCTTGCTTGGAGTGGAGTATGTACTGTGTTGTTTCCCTGCATCAGGGAACTTACTGTCACTTGCATCAGCATGTTTCTCAGCTGTGCTGGTATCTACTGCCTCAAGTTTTTCAGATATTACCTTCTCCATGCATTCAGGAGTCATGAAAGATTTAACTGCCATCAACTTGGTAACAGCACCTGTATATTGGCTATTGTTGCTACTAGTGTCCACTGACTCATCCAAAATAGATGACAAACTACTTTCATCTTGATCATCATGGGGATTGCATTCAGAGGGTGAACCTTCTGATGATGAGGATGAATAAGACACCAGGGAAGAAAGACCCTCAGATCTAGTGTGTGTTGGTGTATTAGTTGTGGTTAGATCAACACTAGTAAGCTTGCTTGTGACATCTGATTCAGACAAAATTGGCTTCTTGTTTAATGTTGTATCTTTGGAAGACGGCACTTGAGTGGGTAAAAACTTTCGAGACGACCCTTTCATGCTACTAGGTCCAATAATAATACTTGATCTCTGAGGTTGAGTAAGAGTACATGGAGTATTCACTTTTGGCATGCTGGATTGAGATTTGACTGTAATGGCAGATGTCTTGATATTAGAACTTGAGATGGCACCAGTGGCAGATCTATTTCCTTCAGACTTGTCACGCAAGCCTCTTTGTTCTATCTTAAAAGAAATTGGAGGTTTTACTGGAGTAGATGTTTGTCGAGCTGATGGCAAAGGAGGGGAAGCAGGCACAGGGGCAGAAGGTAAAGTAAGCCTTGGCCGCATAGTTGGAGGTGGTGCCTGAGATGGCAGAGGTATATCTGCAACATTTTCAATAACAATTCTTTTATCTCCACTGGTATGCTTAGGAGGTACAAGACCTTGTGATGTATTACCATGGTGACCAGTACCAGATGGACTGATACCTTTATCAGATAACTGACCCTCCTTGAAGGATGATGTATGTGCTACATACTCCCCTGGATGCCTGGAAGGGCCTGGTGGAGCATTTTGGCTCTGTGATGACCTATCAGCTTCCTTTCCAGTAAGTGATTTTGGTTGTAATGAGCCTGTTATATTTGTCCCAGAGCTTCCAAACTTGGGTGTTGGACCACCATTACCTTCATCCATTTCAGTAACTTTCTGGAAAAATACAAGATATTAAATGACCTGCAGGAATTTTACTTTAAATATTGAAGTTAGTAAACAAATAAATGCTGAAATTTTTCAGTGTTCAAGAATGTATGGATATAAAAAAAAATTACCAAATACATAACTACTGCCTTTAATAATGAATCAGCACAAATACAGTACTTCAATGGGAAAAATGATAATACGTATAAGAATGAATCAAAAGCAAACAATAATGTTCACTATACTGTACTTCTCAGATAAAGACTATAAAATATTAAACACCTTTATTTCATTAAACATTCACATTATACAGAGGGTGTGGCAAATTTGACACCACTTGCATAGCATACTCACTTGGCTCAATTTTTGCCACTTGCTTCATGCATGTTCAGATGGAAAGAAAACAAATAAGAATGAAAAGAGAATAGGTTTCTGATGATTAAACTAGCCCTATATAACCTAATTTACCTGGAAATGAAAAGCATCTCCACTATAAACTTAGCCTGACCTCGGTCTTTTAAGTTATACTGGCAATGTCCAAAAAGCAAAGTAGCATATTACAGTTATGAGAGACCAGAAGTAATATCCTCATACATCAAATGAATTTTATATACCAGTACAAAACTTTAACTCAAAAAGTTTAAGCTAGCTTAAGTTAGGTTAATGCATGCACATGACCTTTCAAATCTAGCTAACCTAAATCTCAAAAAATATTACTTTTAGGTACATATATGAAATTAATTGGAAATATAAGGATATTACTAAGGGACTGTTGCATAATATATATAATGCTGAACATTATGTAACAACCTTACCTATGAGCACAAGGACTAACTGTTTATTCCTTACTTCAAATAGGGTAGGTTAGTTCACAGGTTTATTCATGATTTATTACTTTTTCATTAGCTAACCAATACAGGTCTAGTAATAAATTACTTTACATCAGCTAACCAGTTAGGTCTAGTAATAAATTACTTTCACATCTGTTAACCAGTTACATCTAGTAATAAATTACTTTCACGTCTGTTAACCAGTTAGGTTTAGTAATAAATTACTTTTACATCTGCTAACCAGTTAGGTCTAGTAATAAATTACTTTTACATCTGCTAACCAGTTAGGTCTAGTAATAAATTACTTTCACATCTGCTAACCAGTTAGGTCTAGTAATAAATTACTTTCACATCTGCTAACCAGTTAGGTCTAGTAATAAATTACTTTCACATCTGCTAACCAGTTAGGTCTAGTAATAAATTACTTTCACATCTGCTAACCAGTTAGGTCTAGTAATAAATTACTTTCACATCTGCTAACCAGTTAGGTCTAGTAATAAATTACTTTCACATCTGCTAACCAGTTGGGCCTAGTAATAATGATGATAATGTACTTAGTCATAAATGCATTCTTTTATAACCCATAAAAGGTCATACAGTAGCTGAGGAATGTGAGGTAATAAGGTCTGACCAATTCAGAGATAAAAATCTTGCTACCAGGGAAATCCTGCATTTTGTCTAAAGCATCTATTCAACAATTTTTGTTTAAAGAAAAAGGACAAGATTAAACACAAAAATGGAATAATGTTGGTAGAATTACCAACAATATGTTAGGTAAAAGGACAAGTGAAACTAATGCGACATTATACTGTGGCAACGTTTGCTCTCCAGGAGCTTTGTCAAGCTGTTACAGCTTGACAAAGCTCCAGGAGAGCAAAACGTTGCCACAATAAAATGTTGAATTAGTTGCACCTGTGTCCTTTTACTTAACAAAAATGGAACATCTTTAAAGACAAAAAACTCAAAGTGCATTCAAACCACAGGCTGGATCAACATTACCCATTAGTAAAATTCAAGTGTAAAGGCATCTCTGCAATAATCAAAGTCTTAAACTCAAACTTCAAACAGGTCTAAACTATATAACTTAATTAAATGAGCCCCTTCAGTATGATCAGAAAAATGGAAACAAAAACATTGTGCTCAAGTACATAACATGAACAAAACGTTAATTGTTTTACTGCATATCTGTTAATGATTCTAGAGATCACTGCCCCTTCTGCCTAGTCCCAGGCAGGATATCATGCACTTTTACTGCAGATACATTGTTCTCCTATATTATGCAAGAAAGTACAATGTAACTGTATTGTTAATATTCACAATTTAAATATTATAATGTACAAAGAAAATAACTGACAAAAATGGGCAAATAAAATGCCAGAAAATAAGGACAGACTTCACCAATAATTTCTCATGCACTGACAGGAGAGCAGCAGTTTTGTTAGTTTTTTAGCAAAAAAGCTTATTCCTGAAAGCATATCTCAATAAAAAAATATAAATATTTACAATTTCCTGGAAACCATGGTCAAGTTCAACCCAACATCAGAAGGATATTTCCTTTTTCTCAAATTGGTTAGGTGGGGATAGTATGTTGCAAGGGGATTGGTGAGTTATGTAATGGTCTACATGGAATGAATCTACCAATACATACTAAGGTTACTAACAAATCCCCTCAAACATTATTTTTTACAGAAGCCGATACACTAACCAATTTTATTTGGCATATCTTCCCCTCTTTTATTGGTGCCATGTTCACTACAAAAATACATTTACCAGTTCTTTAAAATCCAGCATAGCCTTGGTACTATTCATGTAGGATTTACAAAGTTTACTGTTTCTTTGATTTGACAAGAAAAACCTATAAAGCTTATACCAAATCTTGTAACTGTGGTTTAACAAATTAGATAAATTCATAAGTTTCTGTATAGCATTTGTAAAAAGCAAAAAACACAAAGGCAAATCAACATACAAAAATAAAAATAACATTATGAACTAGCTTAGGTTCAGATATTTATACTGCATACAGTAGTTTAAAAAATTGACATAATAGTGAAGCAGTAAACACTGGCCAGTGAACAATAGGAATAATACACAAGAACAACCACACTACCGAGATCACAATACGTATTATCATTGATAATCTCTTATTTTTTAATAAACTTCAGGAATATTCTGAAAATAATTAATCTGAATTGTCCTAATTCTTATTATACTAGATAAATGTAATAGTTCTGATAACCTGCCATCATCTGTGTCAATATAGAGTAAGAATTAGGATTAGTCTGCCCAAAATGCCTAGGCATGCTAGAGGCCTTCCTTGTAATTAATATTTTATATGTAAACCACACATTGTAAGCTTTGCAAGGAAATAAACATTTTCATTTTCATAATGTCAGGTTTCATTTTGAACAAAAGACAAACTCCTCTAATTTTTAAAACAGGTGTATGTTTCACTCACTACCCCCAAAAAAACAGTAAAAAACTTTGTGAAGCTTCAGCTGGCAAAATAAATTACAGAAGTACCAGGCATAAGAGATATTGGCACCATCAGGCCATAGTATATAATTTCACTGAATGAAATCCATTTATTGTTAGGTTTACATTAGGCTATTAGGTTAGCAGAGAGCATTTAGTAATACTGTACAGTATAGGAAAGTATTTGACTGACTTGTGGATGAGCTAAACAAACTACAATGTAGTGACATTGAAGCAAAATACTTGGGTAGCTTTAAAAAAGGTTGGACAAATACACAAGTGAGAATGAGTGGGCATTAGTAAAACATGCCTAATACAGGCTAGTAGGAGTAATGCAATGATCAGTTTTTCTGGTCTTATTTGATTTACAAAAAAAAAAAAAAATTGACCGTGAAGCCTAGTCACAGACAGACCTGCAGGGGCACTGACCCCCTAAACACCCTTCAGGTATACTTCCAGGTAAGCTTACCATCACTGTCTTGTAATTTTAGTTATTTTTGCACTTGTAATGCATATACACAAGAGAGGCTTTCATATTTATTGTATATCTCTAAGGATCCAAATGAAAATAAGTCCTACGACAGCCACTCTGCAATATATGGATGATGTCCCTCCAAATTCTCGTAAGGATGTTTGCAGGGATTATTCCCATCTGGGCCTTTAAGTTGTGTAACAGGCATCAAATTGATAGACAACCACTGTAATGCAGTAAATTATCTAGCCTACCCTCTTTTCTTAACTGTACATGGCATGAGACATGATGTCTGTCAAAAGTTTCATGGCTGACCTACATTATTTCTTCCTACCTATGAGGTTGTCAGCATTAGTTCATTTACCTTACATTTGCCATTATCAAAGTTCAAGTGAAAAGAACCTATGTAATGGTTCAGAGAATGAGTGGAATTTGTGATACATGTGTAGTTTTGTTATAAATATGTCTAATTAGTATTGCCAGGATTGCTATAATTGTTAGCAATAAGTCGACTCAGAAATCATAGAATTTGTTGCAGGACAATTGTGGTTTAACCCTTTTACCATTTCTCTCACAGATCTACACTACTGAGGCTAGTGTCACTTACAGAGATCCAAATCTTAATCACAACGCCCACAAATATGCCATGATAGATAGATTTTGGCCTTGACATGAGAAAATGTGTGTATGGTGAGTGTGCATAGTATAAAATAAAATTTCTGCCCTACACAGACTTTGTGTTTGGTTTTAAATATCAACTGAGGCATATTCTAAGGTGGTTTTCATGGTTTTATTGGCTGCATCTTGATAGAATGTAGGACATACCAGTGAAATGGAGATGATTTTGGTCAGTTTCTGACGAGAGGTCTTGAAACAGACATCGAAGTGGTGGAAATATTTGACATTTGGCAATCCTCCTGAGAAAGGGTAGGGGACCCCCCTTCCTTTTTTTTTTTAACTAGGTCTGCTTCAATTATTTGGAAAGCAGTGTCTTGCACTCAACAGAATGGAAGGCATCATAGCAAAACAGCAAAGAATTAGCCAAAAACAGGCCTCAAAGTGAGCAAAATTGCCAATATATAAATTGCACCCATACTGCCAACTTTGAGCCTCCTTATTTCCGTAAGCTGTCCATCAAGTTTCGTATTTTTTGGCGTCATACCTTCAGATAAAGATTCTCTACCATTTTAGAAGATAAAATTATTTCAGGGGTCACAACAGTGAGAAATCTGCTG